GTGAAATCAACTGCTAATGTTTGCCTTCAGTTGAGCAAAGTATTGCAATATACTCTTTCTATCAATTATTCATTCGTCGTGTGCTCCTCGCCTCTGGCATCAGCTGATAATATTTCTATCAAGCTCAGTAGAATATTTCAATATATTCTTCCTGTCAATCATTTATTCGTCGTGTGCTACTCAACCATGGAATCGAGTGCAAATGTTTATTTTAAGTTGACCAAAGTAGAAGAATGTAAGACTTGTTTGAAGTAGCCATTTACGATATATCCTCAACTATGGAATCAACTGCAAATGGTTGCTTTGACTCCAGCAGAATATTTTAATATACTTCTAATATCAATTATCCATTCGTCGAATGTTTCTCATGCTTGGAGCCAATTTCTAATGTTTGTTTCAACTTGAGGAAAGTATTTTAATATACTCTTGGTGTCAGTTATTCATTTGTCTTATGCTACTCAACCATGAAATCAACTGTTAATGTTTGCCTTCAATTGAGTAAAGTATTTGAAAATACTCTTGCTATCAATTATACATTCATTGTATGTTTCTCAACCATGTAATTCAGTGCAAATGTTTGCTTTGACTTGAGAAAAGTATTTCAATATACTCTTACTAGCAATTGTTCATTCATCATATGTTCTTCATCCACGTAATTTAGTACAATTATTTGGTTTCAATTCAGCAAAGTATTTCAATATAGTCTTGATATCAATTATCTGTCCGTCGTGGGCTGCTAATTCATAAAACTAAGTACAAATATTTGCTCTCAATTGAAGAAGATATTAGAATAGAAAGCTTGTTAGAATTATTATTTTGCGATTAATCATTCAATCATGGAATTGTTTGGAAATGCTTGATTTGAATTAACAAAAATATTTGTATAGAATCATACTGATAACTAGTCATTTGTGATGTATTATTCAATAACGGAATTAGGTGTAAATATTTTCTTTGATTAAAGTAAAATATATGATTTGAGTGCTTGTTTGAACTAGTGATATTTTGTATTTTTTTCAACCTTAGAGTTAACTGTAATTGTTTGATTTAAATTGAGCAAGGTATGTGAATATAATGTTACTGAGAATCATTCCTTTAACTAACGATCTTTGATGACGCCGGGTAGCGTATGTGTCATTTTGTGCAGGTGAAAACAATAGACGAATAGAGTATCGTGTATAAAAAAAAAGCCAGGTATGTATTTTTTAAAGACTGCTAGTGATATTGTATTTCATGAATCGTCGATTTTTCCTTGACACTATAATTTTCAATTATTTTGGCAGTAAATAAATTTACTGTTTTTACTTTCTAGGACAACGTCGGCACAATCGCAAATGCAAATCAAAAATCGAACAGTGCCATCAATGATCATCAATATTGAAGAACCGTACCCATTAGTTAGTTTGTTCCATTTTAATCATGAATTAAATATAGTTCCCTTCTTTCGTATTCTATTTTTTTTCTTCCTTTTTATTTATTCTCGCTTATTTTATCTATTTATCTTTTCTGATTTTTTCTTAATTTCATTATTCAATAAAAATTAAAAGTTGAAAAAATATTTTACTTTTCTTTTCTCGAATCGTATCAGATATCTAAGATAAGCATGGGCCATGTTTTAATGGCTTCTAAAGCTCAAAATTAGTTGTTCAATTTATTATAAGTTTTGTTAAGGATGAGGATGTGAGATTTTACAAGATCTCTCACCACAGAATCGGAATAATCTCGGACTATTTCGATGAACTTTGGCTTTTACCTAGAGCATGTCAGCGGATAACTACCCAGTCTGCATTGATGTTCATTTTAAAATAAAAGAATAATAAGTCTTTTCATGTTTGAAGCTAAAGTCTGCTCATCAAGAATACAATATTTTCTTTGATTTACATTCTATTGTGAGCAATCGTCAATATTTATCTAAATGAACAAGTAAAATCTTAGTTAAAATTTATATTAAGTTTTATACTTAAAAGAGCAAACTGTTTTTATAAAATTGACTCACTCAAACTGTTTTTTGAATAAATATCAAAAGTTAACATTTCT